TTAGAACAATTTCCACTAGTTAGTATGTCACTATGTGTTTCTACCCAGTGATGTCTTGCAACATCAAAGCTTACATGTGCTGCAACCTAGGGTAATTCATGTGTGTTTCTGCTTTGGTGATGCTACCAGCCCTATAAAAGTTGATTTGGGAAAGTGTTGCCTGACCTTGTGCAAAGACACCTCAACCATCCAATTCAACACCACATGTTGGAGTATGCTGGTCTCAAGCACTTGCACTGGCCATGAAGCAGCTAAAGTGTTACATCCAGGGCCTGCTTTACACAATACATTTGAGTTTGTAATAAGGCTTCTGATTGCGTGCCCAGGCCCAATCTTCCCCCCCTGCAGCCTCAGCCACATTACTGTTACCAGTTCTTTTTGCTGGAAGCAGGCCCCAGCATACATAACTAAAATTAAAGGAGCCTCCTTTTCAAGGTTGGCTAAATTTTAGGAGGCTCCTCTAAGACACTTAAAAGTCATGAGTCTAGAAAGCTACAATTTCAACATGCCTGCCCCCCATAGGCCATGGCATGTTGCATGGCTGGGGCATTACCTGCTTGTGAATTAGTGATTTCAAACCTGTAAGTGATCAACCATTAGCCTCAGTTGGGAAGCCACCTGTTGGCAATGTTACTTGTCAGTTGTTTGCATTGAAGCAACCAAGTGTAGACTCTCCAATGTACCCAACATGTGCCATTTGCAAGGTCTTTCATTAACGTACATAACACTGTCTAGAAAATGTGTCAAGTGCTTAAACTTTGTTTTCATACCCCACACTTGGTATACCACTTGCTCATTATATGTATACCACTTCTAGCTGAAGAGGTTTATAGGATGATAGTTCAATGGTGAACTATATCTCTAGCCTCGCAAGATTTCATGAAATGTGGCTCCACGTCAAGGACCCCGCATGAGTTTCGCCCTGAGATGGATCTCCCAACCCTTCTGGCGGAGAGCAATGTGCACCCAGGTTCTTTAACAACATGGACGAGGCACGAAGAGTGGAGATCAGATGAAGCTCACGAATGGAGACCACGCTTTGCAAGAGTGGTGCTTTGTTTTTTCGGGCAGCAGATTTGCCTACTATATAAACTAAGCCCGTAGCAATCTCTCTATGTCTTGCTTTCTTTGACCATTTACGGTGACAAATCAGGATATCGGGATACCCCAATTGAAGAAATTTCCAAGCTCATATATTGCCTCCAAGCATCTCCGAATGGATGATATTGAACTGATAGTGATTGTTTAAATTTGATAGGTACGTCGAAAGAAAGGAACAACACCAAAACGTGCCAGCTGCGAGCTTGTGTCGTTTCCTACAGCACTAGTTCGAAGGCATTTTAGACTAAAAGTTCAATGAACCATCCAATCTGGGCATGTTCACATATAATATATATACATATATATATAGCTATATGCACGCATAATCATATCAATCGTATCAAAATATTTGCATATATTTGCATTATATGTAAATGAATGGTTTGTACTAAGGTTTCTTTGATGTGTCAACTGAAGAATATTCCCAGGGCCCGAAAACCGCAGGGTCGCGCCCGGTCCTCCGTGCCGCGTGCTGGCCGGAGGCGGCGGAGGTGGACGGCCTCGAGACCTGCGTGTCGGCGGAGCGACCGAAGAAGTATGGGAAGATCACGTGCGGGGACTACGTGGCCACGAAGATGAGACTTGGTGGGGAGGACACGAGCGAGACATGAGGGGATCAAGTGTTCAGTTCATGGCCCAGGCTGCCAGGCTTTAGCATGCTTTACTCATGAAGATGAGACTTAGAGGGTTGCAATGGGCTGCAATGAGACGTTATACCGTTAAGCAGTCCATTTGCATTATACTTAATAAACATGTCTATTGTTCTTTGTTGTTCTCATACAACTAAGCAGTCCATATATAGCTATAAGTATACGACTTATTTGTGGAGCTTCGCTGTCGACCGCTTCTCCCCTTCCGCACGCCGTGGAGGTTGAGGGATCCGTTGCTCACGCCCTGGACCAAGGAAGGAAATGCGAAGTCAGGCCGCACAGGATTGACCTGTTGCGATCAGTGGAGAAGATGTGGGGAACCGGAGAAAAGCTTTCATATGCCTTAGGTGCTACAAATATATATATATATAGATGAACTTAGGATACCCCTTCAAACTTTGTTCGGATGAGCTATATGACTTTGTATGTAAGTTCTTCATGATGAAGCTCAATATTTTGCTCCTTGTAGTGTCTCTTGCTTTGTTGCTTCTTGTTTCTGTTATGTCTACATTGGGCCTCCCCCATTCCCTCATATCCCACTGGTCGCGGCTGTTCAATTCGGTCTGCGATCATTCCTCGATGGCGCAGTGAAAGATGCTGCTGCAGTGGGGGTGCGCGGCTGTTCGTGGGGCTCGAATGGGACATGACTTGCATTGACTTCGATGGGGTGCCCAGATGTTGATGTTATCTTGTGTTTGTTGAGGCTCGGAGGTCCTAAATGCCAGGCTAAAGGCTTTGTGTATGAATGATTGTTCAACAACACTCACTTGTTGGTGTTCTGGACTTCTTCAATAATACCAGCTCTGAGTGAAAGAGTTTCCCGCGGCCCGAGGTGATTCCAACATAATCCAACTAGTGGTTGACCCCTCAGGCGATTCGACTGCAGGAGTTATTGTTCAAAAGATGGGGTTCGTAGAATTAGAAGGTGAGAATAATCGATCGCAGCACATGTGGCATTCGATCCCCAAAGCTGGGACGCACTGCACGGTGCTGAGGCGCCTGGCATATGGTCCCAAGATGGTCCAACCTTCAAAAGACAGAATTGGGTCATTTTGCTGAGGCATCAAGCATTGGTTGGACAATGTTGGACAACAGCTGCGAATTCCTTTTGAAGAGGTTACAACCAGGCGTTGTGCTTGGAGGCTAAGTGAGGCGAGCGAGAGAAGCATGTAGAAACTCTGGAGTCTTGAGAACCCCTCCCTGTACGTACAGTAGACTCTAGACGGATTGCATGAGATCACACAGCACCCAGTCGTGCCGCCCGTGTTTGTAGGCGCGACTTCGATTAGCCCTCACCAAGTTCTATGCCAACCGAAAGAGCGGTTTGGGGGCCCCATGGGTCCGGGAACAGGCTTCTGGTAGCTTCTCTGGGCGTCTATACTAGCAAACTTCTACAGGTGACTGAACCTATAGTGTTATTGTATTTTTGTTATTATTTTTTGGGTGCTGCTTCTGTGTGTTGTTGTTGTTGTTGTTGTTGTTGTTGTTGTTGTTGTTGTTGTTG